GTCCCAGACTCACCAGTCCCCCTCCCTCTGGCCTCATAGAGGAAGCTGGGAGGCTGGACAGGGCCCATCCTTAGCAGCCCCCGACACAACACTCCCAGCCTCCACATATCGGAAAAGGCCATGCCTCTCACGTGGACAGAGCCCTCCCGCACTCTTACCATGCAAAGTCTCTTCCTCCAGGAAGTCCTCCCAGAGCTCTTCTTTTGGGGGCCCTTGGTTTCCAGCCCTCAGTTATCAGCTGGTTCAGCCCAGGATGACAGCTGCACAGCAGGACCCCTCATTTCCTCCTCCCCAAGCCCAGCAGCAGGTAGAGACTGGGACACGAGTGGGCAGAGTGACCTGGGATTCGCCCTGTGCCTGCCTTGGACCAGGCACGGCTTGCTGGGGTTTGGTTTCTCAGCTCAGGCCCATGCCCCTCTCTCCACAGCCCCCCGACCCCTGTTTCTTGTTTCCTGTCCCTCAAAGTCCTGACAGCAGCCCAGAGCCTCCAAGCCCCAGGCTGGCTCTGCTCTGTCGGACCCACAGTTCTGCCAGGAATTCTTGCCTGATGGCCCCCAGCTAGCAAGGGACACAGGCAGAGCCCCCGGCCACCTGCCCGAGCCCCAGGAGTGCCCAACGTCACTTCCCAGGCCAGCCCACGCCCAGACCAACCCTGTGCACTCTGGGCCCTTGTCCTGACCTCACCTGCTACACCCCGGCCCGGGCACTGTTCCCACAGAGGCTCCAGGGGGCCTTCATCCACCAGCACTTCCTGCCTCTGCCCGCTGGGCCCTGCCCTCCCCAGCTTAGTTCTGGGGCCTCTGCCTGACTGTGCTCGCCCAGGGCTCACTTCCCCCTCCTTGGGCCCAGTGCTGCCCGGCGCCCACCCTCCCCCAGCTCACACTCTGCAGATAGCTCCAGGGCCCAGGTCTGCCACAGCTGGTGCAGTGTGGCTCCCAGGGCCTCCAGCCAGGCGGAGGAACCAGTTCTCCTGGTTTGTGGCTGGCACTGCAAGGGGCTTCCCGAGGGCCGCACCCCAACGGTCCTGTCCCTGTACCTGGGGCCCGCTTGGGGGAGGCTGCTCCTCAATCTCAAAATCCATTTATAGCTAAAGAGAAGGGAGGGGACACAGCCACACCCCTGAAGCCAGAACTGCCACCCTGGGCAGGAGCCACTCCCCTCAAGTGGCACAAGCGCCCACCCCTGCTCTGTGTTCCAGGCACCTGCCCAGCCAAGGACCCAGACATGCTTCATCCAGCTCCTGGGCCCACCTTGCCCTCCTTGGCATCCTGGGACAGGCGTCCTGAGCAGCTGCTGGGTGCCAGGCAGCATCCCAGGCATGACAGGCACAGCGGCCCCGCTCTAACCCTAACCCACCACAGAGGGAACAGGGAGGAGCACCTGATGCCGTGCCAGATCACCCACAGGGCTGCCCACTGCACTGGGTGTTTGGGGGTGGAATGGGGATCTGAAGGGTGGGACCAACGCTGAGCTCCCCAGAGCAGAGGAACTGGGCTCAGAGGAGCCGCAACGCAGGCCCTCCAAAGGAAGGTGTGGGATGGGGCGCCACACCGGCCACTGCTGGGCGGAAGGGGGCAAGTGTGACGGGCAAAGCTGAGAGCCCTGCTCCGTGCAGGTGTGGTCTGGGTGCTTGTCAAGAATGCAGAACTGAACCTCGGTCCAGGCCCATCCACGCAGACCTGCACTGTGACCACATCCCAGGCCATGTGGACCCCAGGTGAGAGTGAAGCAGGCTCTTAATAAATACCAGCTGATTCTTCCCCATTCCCACTCCACAGGCCAGAAGACGGAAGCACAGGGGAGTCAGATGGAATGGGCGTGAGAGCCCCCTGAAACAGCAGGGCCAGCGGAGGGCACGGCGGGCTGCAGTCAGAGACCAGCCCAGAAGCACTCCTGTGCCATGTCCCCAGAAGTCCCCAGAAGCCTGGCTTTGAAGTGTGGCGGGATCTAGGCTGAGCGGTGAGAGCTGGAGAGGTAGGTCGGGGTTCCTTGATTACAGAACAGGCTCCTCTAGAAGGACATCAAGCACCGCCACCAGGAATAATGCTCACTTTAGACTGTGGTGATTCCTTGCTGGGGCCCAGTACGTGGCTGTCAAGAGACCCAAGACTCGGGCTGGACCCGGGCTGCCGGATGCCTGAAATCCACAGCCTCCGAGGGTCTGTGGCCAGTGCCACGGGCTCAAGAGAAGGCAGCCACATGGAGGCAGGGGTGCCAAGGGGCAAACACCCCCCTCCCCTGGCAAGACCCCTTTTACCCCACCCCAGAACCCTGGAAGCAGCCAGAGCTCCCAGGTTGGGGCAGGACAGGGAGACTTGACTCCTGCCCCACCTCCCTGGGAACCGCCCCCAGCAGGTACTTCCTTCCCTCCTCCGTTTCGGGCAGATGGTCACTCCACTTCGCTGGTGGTTCTGATCTAGGTTCAGTTGACTTTGGGGCAAAACTCACTGCCTAATCCCCTGTAACTCTGGGGGGAGCTGGGTGGAGAGCAGACGGGCCAACGCTGCCACCTGCTGGCCATCCCAGGATAAGACCCCCAAATTCAAATCGTCCTTACGAAGGACCCTCAGGGCACCAGAGACCTTCAAACACCCAGTACGAGTGAGGAAACTGAGGGTCAGAGGCACCATGGCATGGCCCAGCCAAGGCCTTGGGCCAAGGCTTGCACCCTGGGAGACCCCCTAGCCCCACCTCCCCAGGAGCAACAGACACTGAGACACTTGGCTTCTGGTCTTGCCCAGGCCCCTCCCGCTGGAGGCTGGGATTTGTGTGCAGATGAAGAGTGATGGATGCAGTCCTGTGCCAGGACAGTGGTGGGGACACCTCCCGGGGCGGGCCACCTCCTGGGGCGGGCCACCTCCGGGGGCCCATCCTAGAGCCGAGCATGAATCTGAAGGAGGTACCAAAGCCTCCTCCTCAGAATCAGACTTGGAGCTGTGACCCCAGGGCCCAGAGTGGCTCAGGGCCAGGAAGGGGTGCTGAACCTCTAACTGTTATCTAAGCGTTGACCAGAGCACACGATCACCTCAGAGCTCCTCATGGGCGACGCCTACTGCCTGGCCCATGGATGAGGGGCCCGGCCAAGCTGCCCAGCCCAATCAGAGGGCAGTTTCTGTGTCCATGACACACGGAACAACTGCGGGGTCAGTTCTCCAAAGGGGTGCAAGGGGGTTTTAGTAGACAGAGGGGCTGCGGGGCCACCAGGTCATGCCCCTTCCCTCTAAGAGGGGCCATTCCTGTAGGGTGGGACTCTGGCTTTGTCACTTAGCTGTGTCAGTCTGGGGATGATGCCACAGCTGAGCCCCTGTAGATGGAACCAGAGGTGAGGCAAGGAACCGCACGTCCCCCCCCCCCCCACTGAGGTCATCAGCGTGCAGATGCCCCCTTCTCAACGTCCCGCCTTCCTTCTGCAACGCTAAAGGCCTCCCCAGCCCAAGTGCTGCCCTGGACCAAGACAGGGCCACTCAGGGCTGTGCGGGCCACCCTCCCTGGCCAGGTGGCACCAGAATCACAGGCCGCAGAGACCGCGGGGGATCTGCGTGGGCCTCCAGTTCCTGCCCGTCCCTCCCATCCCCAGCTCCGAACAGGTCCAGCTGTGGCCAGCGGCTGGGAAAGACTCTGTCCCTCCAGGTGTGCGGCTTTGGAGAGTGCCTCAGGCCTCTGCCCCTCCGCTGTGAGCAGAGGGGTCGAAGGGCCTGCGATGTGGGTCCCCAGAGCACCTGTGGGGCTCAGGCCAGACAGGGTGGATGTAGAGGGCCACCTTCCGCCCGTCCTGAAACCACGAGGCGGCCAGGCCCTGCCTGACGCACGCGGCGCCCTCCCTCCCGGGACCTCGGCCCTTCGTGGGCACCAGGCGGGCGTCCACACCAAGCTGGCCGTGTGCTTTCGCGAGGGATGACTGGGGAACGCGGCTGCTCGAGGCCTGGAAGGTCCCGGATCTCGCCTGCCGCTCCTCTGGTCCCCAAATCCACCGGCGCCCCGGAACCGGCCAACCCGCGCTTAGAGCCCGCGCAGCTCAGAGGGCGAGATGGCGGGAAGGCGGGACCACCGCGGCCGGCACGAGGAGCTCGGCTCCCCGGGGCGGGTCCAGAGCCAAGCGCCGGCCTCCGTCTCCCCAGCGGGAAATGGGTCCGCACCGTCTCCACTCCGCGGCGCTGTCCCCAGGGGGAGAGCGGCCCGTGGACGCGCAGGGAGCTGGGCGGGGCCGGGGCAGCGCAGGACCCTGGGGGCGCCGCAGACGACTCCCGCCCCGCGGCCCCCACTCCCTTCCCGCAGCCCGGCCCCGCCCCGCTCCGCCCGCGCCCCCCACTCCCTTCCCGCAGCCCGGCCCCGCCCCGCGCCCCCACTCCCTTCCCGCAGCCCGGCCCCGCCCCGCTCCGCCTGCGCCCCCGAATCCC